GCATCGTTTCAAGTAATAAAACATGTTTTATTGCAATTCAATATTTTTTGAAAATACTGCAATTAAAAAAACTACAGTTTTAGTTTTGTGCATTTGTATAGAAATTATTAATTTATTTTTGTTTGTTAATTAAAATAACAAAAATTGTACATATTTTTGTTCCAATATTGTCCATGCAACCATAGTATTAAATTAAATTGGCTAAATTAAGTAAAAAAAAATCCGAACACCAATCGAAGGTCGGCGATGCGCGTTTACACATCACAAGGGGTTCTCGCACATCGAATGACCACAAACCGTGACTGAGCCTCCGGTATAGTGGTTACATAGAAGGGGTAAAGGAACACTGTTGCATTCACGGTTTGATGTCCCCTTCTCCGTTTTCCACTACAGTATTATCTATATTTTTTTATTCGTATTTTTTTATTTTAATCTATTTTTTATATACGCAAAGCGAAAACGTTCCTTGCCGACTTCTTCTTTTGTGTTGTCAAGGGAACCAAACACGTCGACGGGTGCAGTGGTGGAACAAAAGTGTTTCCGGAAATTCCCATAGAGCATATAAGAATATAGAAATAAAGTGTGTGCACGACTAACGGAGGCAGAAGAAAAGAAGTAACCAACAGCCTGCCCCCCCCCCTCTTCATAATTCATCAAAGCGATATAAATAGAACTTGATGATCTTTTTGATTCAACATACCTGTTTACGATTGTGAAGATTCTGTAATCTGTACTGACGGTAGTACCTATTTTTCATCATAGTAGATATTGGTGCAGCGCATGTTATTTAGGAACAACTGATATCATCGTACGACTGTTATAGTGTAGGTCTCGGTTGTTGGTACATCCGGTTTAATGCATGCAAATTAATAATTGTGTATTGTTATTGTTGTAGTCTGTATTCAAGTAGGCGATCTTAAGCGATCGCATATCGATTACGTGTTAGTTAAAAATAAACATTGATTTTTAAAAAATGTAAATTTACAAAAAAAATATTTATAACAAAAAAAAAGTAGGTTCATTTATATTATAATATGATTTATTTTAAATAATGTACCTAATTGAGTATAATTATTATAACCCTCGATTGAAAAACTCGTTTACCGTCCACGTAAGGTCTAGTTAGCACCTCCTTAATATTATTGCACATAATGAGGAATTAAATTTATATGTTTTTTTCTGCCTTATTAGTTTGTTATGAAAACTAAGTTTCAATTTATTTATATTTATATAAAATCAATTTATATTTTAGTAAACTATATCACAGTAAAACATCTGGTACATTGTTTATATTCTATTCTATGTTATATGTTTATATATTATAATGTGTACCATTGTACCAAACTTAATGGTACATGTTATTGGTTGTATACGTATATATAATTAATATATGTTGTCTATCATATTCATATGTATGTCTATTGTCCATACAAAAATAAACGTATTATAGTTGCAAGGTCGTAATTGAAAACATATTTCTGGTTGGAGGGAGGGGGGGGCGGCAGAATTTTTTAAATATATAGGTAGATACTGGACACTCATAATTTTTTACTTTCAATATATAAAAACTCTTTATTCTCGTTATTACTGCTTTAATAAAAATATAATTTTATTCATACAATAGTCAATAAACAATATTCATTGCTAAAAGGTTTCTAATTAAAAAAAATTTAGGGGGTCTGGACGCCAGAATTCTCCCGCTTCGCAGTTACGTTCTTGCTATAACATTGTACCTAACGTATTTATCTTTGAAAAACTAAATCTTACATCTCATAGGTAATAAGTATTGTAATTCGTGTCAAACAATTTAAAATAATAAAAAATAAATGGTTTTAAGTAAATTTAGCAGTTGAATAGAAATCGTCATATATACGAATTAGGGATTTAATATACGAGGATCATTGCTGCACTTCTAACTGACACTTCTTGTATGTTTTATGGAGGAGTTGAAATTACCTACTGATTTAATTTTACTTATAAAATCCACGGAGAAACTAAAAAAATATTAGGTGTACAAATTTTTTTATAATATGTAGTATGTATGTATTACACCTAGAAATATATTTAAATTATTTAGTATGATAATTTGGTGATAAAATTTACATTTGATTGATTGGATGATGATGAATTCGGTGATCATAAAAATAATAGGTAGCTATAGGTAGTAGATGTAACTCGTGTACGTTATAATATATTTCCGGTTGACCGATATCGATTTTATTAGTTTGAATTTCAAATGCAAGTTTAGATCACTTTTAATTAAAATTTTGTTTGCGTTGATAGAATATATTATATTTCATATAATTCCATTAAAATCTTAAAGACGTTCTTAAATTAAAACGTACATATAGATAGAACGCCCTAAAAATCATAAAAATACTATTAAAAATGCTCAAAAATACAAAATACAATTCGGTATAAACATTTATTCAATACCTAAGACTCCCAGATAGATCTTTTTACCTAAACTAGCAAAGTATCATATGCCAGAAAAATGCAAAGGGCATTAAAATCATAGCCGTACACCCCTATTTATTAGTCAGTATAATATTAGTATTTTATTTCATTAGCTTTACAATTATTATGCATAACAATATTATGTATAATGTATATAGGCAACCAAGAACTAAGAATTAAAAAAAATAAAGCATATTTTCTGAGATGTTTGACGAAGGCTATAGATGTGTATTCAAAATTAATGTTTTAAAATAACTTGAGGAGATCCCTATATGCAGTAACTGTGGTTGTATTTATATTGTCGGAGGACGAGTCAAGGATAACTAGTGCGTCGTGTTTACAGAATTACGTTATTGGACAAAGATGGAGTTAAGTTGAGAGAGAGAGTGCGTAGTTAAATTTTTGATGTACAATATCCATCTTTTTTTGCTCAACCATGTATCAAATAAGAATAGATTTTGTTTTCCTTTTTACCTTTTCGTAATTTGTATGGCTGTACATAAACGTTTGATGAATGATCAAATTAAATACATGATTATGGCAGTGTATATCATAATTAAGACATTCGCCAAAGACGTATATTAGGTGACTGTGCACAATTAAATGGAAGGAAATAAAATCTAATATGTTTATTTTTATGTATGATAATCATCGATTCACATTTAACCCACTGGCATCATTATTCATCGTTATACTTGCTTCGTTATTAGTTGTACCTGCTGATAATAAAGGTCCAGTCCATCACTTATAATTTTAATAATAAATGTACTATGCCGGGTAAAATCGAAAAACAACTAATAATTAAGCCGCAAGTCTAAAATTGAATGAATATTTATGTGTGTCCTATAAAAATACTCTGCATTGAATACAATCGGAAAATGCATGTAAATTATGGTATGATATCCGGGATCAACTTGCATTTGAATTTATTCGTGACAATAATTATTATGAAAATATAGTATATAGTTGTTGCTTATTATAGTTATATTGTTACCTGTACGGCTGTATGCTAGTGAATGTAATAAAATGTTTTTGTACAAAATTAAGACATGCCATGATTTTTCTTATTTTAATGACAGCATGTATTTTTAATCTCTTATAGTCTTATTCCAAAGCAGAATATTAATTCTCTGAAAATGCCTAAAATGCGTTTTAAAATCGAATTTCAAACGTGTTGTTGACTAGTTTTAATGTATAAATAATTAAAGCTTCGATGGACGAAGTGGCACAGGCCATAGGACATAATGTAGATGGACTGGACTGGACTGTCTGGACTGCGCGTTTAACCTTTATCGTGTGATCATAAACTCACGTAAAAGATAAATAATCATGGACTAATGTTTCTCTCTAAATCTTTCTTTCATGATAGTATAACACCAATGTATATTGCTTACATTTTAAAAGTAATTTTACCACTTTTATCAAGTTATCCAAATAATACCTTCGAATAAAAACCGTAAAAATGTTTTTTCCATGTTATTTTACCTTCTCCGGTCTTGTTATTATGGTTGAACTTATTGATGGCAAGAGGATAGGAATGCGCAGTCCATCTATGTAATGTCTATGGCACAGGCACATTCCGAAAATGTGTCCATTATTACTTCGCTTATTTAAATGATCATATTTTTATTATATTGAAATTCTTAGAAGAATATTCTGGTTCGTAATACCCATCAGAGAATTAAAAGTGAGTGCTAATTGTATTTTAAAAAGTAATAAAATCTTAAATAAATTATGTTGTAAAAACATTGTACATAATGGTAAAACTTTTCAAGAAAATTAATACATAGGTACGTTTAAAATAATCATATTACCTATTGTATGCTATTACAAATTATAAAATAATTTTAAGGTCCATCGTAATGTTTAGGTAGTAAATAAGTGAGGTTATTTTATAGTTTACATGAGATTATTCATTTTTATCCGCAGCAATAATTTAATCTAAACTTTTAATTTTTTTTTGGAAATCTTATAATAACTAATAATATTATCCTCGTCGTGTACTTACATAACTCTTATAATGTATTAGTTTATACAATGTCTTATACGTATTAGGTACAGACTATACATTGTTTAATACATTTAAGGAAATATACCATAATATTCAATTCCAACACTTGTACGCTACATTTATGTTGTACAATATATACGTAGGTATTGTTGGGATTATTTTTTTATCGACCGTAACACAGAAAATATACCGTATCCTTCCCCGAGGGAAAGAGAAGTTTATAGGAGAAAGGACTTGCCAGTTAAAATCTCACGATGACAGGGACTTGTGTTAGAAACCGGTCTTAATTTTCAAGGGGTTCTTAAAGTCTAAAGAACGGGGTTGTACAATTATACACCTACATAAAACAACATATGGGAATTAACTCAATCGATTCATGTTGATTTCTGGAGTGTGTTTGGAAGAATGTTTTTTTATAATTTAACCGTCTGAAAAATGATTTGATTTTATTAATTAGTAAGCCATTATGACTCAGGTAGGTATCTATAATTTAGCGTTTATTGATGTTTATTATTATAATTACTACCAATCAAGTACCTACTTAAACATTGAGATTTTAGTAAAATATTTATGCTTTGACTTATGAACGAATTAAATATCAAACAATTTCCTGTAACAGACAATGGCCATAGATCACGTATTTTTTTTTTTATGAAAATGAAAAACATCTTAAATATATGAAAGAGGACACTTTACTTTTACAGTAAAAATCAGTTATAAATTACTTATAACCTAAAAATACCTGTTGTAGAAATTTATAGATAGTAATAATAATATATTAATCATTTTTTAATCTTTTTTTGTTTATTTTTAGTTGAAATTCAGTTAACATAGGTATAAGTGCCATAACATCGATATTCCATGTTATAAAACGTATCTCATATCATATATTACTGAACTCCTGTACATTATTAATACATTAAGCGTAGGCAATATATATTTTTAAAGATTTTGATTTGAGTCTGTATAGGTTTATGAATTATGACACGTGTGTTTATTGTCTATGATGTCCAAAGTTAATTGACTGCTGCAATAAATAAATAGTACAATAATTTTAGTTATAATCCTGAAGTTTTAATAAGTTTCCCATTTTAAAGGCATTTTAATTGAGCTCTTCACTTATTATAATAAGTGTACCTATAGGTACAGTATGTCTTTTTTACTACATTGATATTTTTTTTAATTTTCTAATGTAATAAATATAATACTTTCTATTCTAAACCATAATTTAACGTCTATACATATTAACAATACCAAGAAATAAGCTTAACTTTAATATGCAGTGACATGTGCATTTTTCTATGACCAAAACATTACATTTTTATAAACGTTAATATATTAGGTACGTTTATTACATGAAATAATAAATGCTATTAATTATAATTCAGACATTAAAAATATAAAGTATAATATGATCATCGTTATAATTAACGTGTGAATGTTTTGTTTTCTATAGACCTTGATTTAAATATAGTAGATATACTTACTAGATATATTAACTTTCGCTAATATAATATATAATACAATATATATATATTATATACCTATAGATACTAATTTATTATAATATGTACATGTAGCCATGCCGTATTAGTATAACACTGTAGATTGAACCAAAAGTATCGCATATGTTAGTACTTAGTAAGTAATTATGAAAATATTATTTCATATGATATTACTTGTTGTTAATCAATACTGATCAATAGCTGGTTGAATAGGTCGTGGTATAAATAGTTTAAAATTTAACCTAAATATTTTTGTAAACTTCATTGTGTGTATAAAAAATATTTATACACATAGTAATATTATACTTACCTAATGGTGAAAAGTTCAATCACACCAAAATAACTAAAACCGCTGAATAATCAGTTCGTCATGTTTGAAGTTCAAACACTTATAATATGTTAATGGGATAAACACTAAACTTTTTTTTTAATTCTTCTCATTCTCCTTTATTATTTTTGATATTATATTCCCGTTTTTGATTATTATATTTTTAGATTTTTCCAATTACTATGGAATTAACTGGAAATAGTCTGTTTAAAGCCAGTATTCTTCAATACCAAGTAGATTCAATTTGGTAAAAGAAACCACTCTCAAAGTTGATGATCGAATCATTGATTGAATAGGTATACTGTTAAAAAAAAACCGACATAAAAATTTAAAAAAATGTAATGTAATAACTCAAGAATCATTATAAAACTAATTTTAAATTTATTTAGATACTGGCATTTAGTACGAACGGTGTCGGTGATATTATAATTTGCGATTAGTTTATGTGTAAAGAATGTCATAAAAAAACTCGTAAGGTAACTTAGATTCTAGTATCAGTTGGATAAGAAACGATTCCGCATTTTACTTATGATGAAGGACTATAATAACGATGTGCATTAATATATTATTTACTCATTATTTCGTTTTTTTTTTAATTTCTCGTAAGCCATCTAAGGGACTTAATATTCAAAAAACATTAATTATAGCTGACATTGAAACACATTTGTGGATTAAGAGTCACGTGGTTTATCCTCGGAACCGCCCCTCTTCTTAGAGATTTTAGTATAGAGCGTGATTCGCCAAGTATGCTCCATCCCTTTTTTCTTCTTACCTAAAAATGAAATTATTCAAATCCTGGTTTTGGGAACTTTTAATTATACTTAAGGGCCATATTTTTAAATACATATAGATTTGTCTTTTATCATGGGGTAGTATCCCTTTTTGCCTCTAAATTGTTAATTGAACTTTTAAAAACGTTGATGGGTCTTATCGATAAACGAACGAGTGGCTTTGTGTTCTAAAGTCCATGATAAGGTCGTAATGGATTTTGACGATATGGGAGCTACGATGATTTCTCAAAAAGCTTATTAATTGATAAAGTTCATCAACATATTATAGTTAATACTAAAGTACTAATAACTTAGAAACTGCATGTTCGACATATTTTGATTTAGAAAGGTACATAACGCTACTGTCACTGCAATACCACGTAAATAACATTTTTTTTGAAAATGACATTTTGGTATCACTGTATAGATTATAATTTTCTCTATCACTTTTATTATGTACCATGAGTCCATTATATTGTTTTTTCCCGCTCAAATTAAAGGTTTTGTGATACCACGTATTACATTTTGATTTTGATAACACGTATCTACCATAATGAACATTATAATAATATTATTCAACATAAACGCTGGTGGAGCTAGACTGCTAGTCTTAAGACAGTTCAGCACTAATAATATTGAACGTCTTACTATACAGGTAGGTAATTATAAATATTAAGTTATAGTTAATTTATTTCAATAAAACATTGTATGAAAGTAGTTAGTTTCAATTATGTTATTATCTACTCAAATAAAATTACAGTTTTATGATGATAGTTATAATAATTAGGTACACTGTATGATTATGTTTTTTTTAGCATTATACATCATGACATCAAAAAGAAGAATTAAACACCTATTGGAGCTTGCTAATGAAGCTAGTAATAAAGATGACGCTATGAACAACATTACATATAAAAAAAAAAGTAAGACAAATATTACCAATTTCTCTAATAAGAAACCAAAATATGAAACTAATTTAATAGCCAATTCAACTATTTCAAAAACAAAATATGAAGTTTTAACAGAAGATTCCTTAAAGGATATTGAATTCATTTATGAGAATGTTGTAACTTCTATAAATGAACCAGATAATATTTATAATGAAAATAATTTAAATGTTCCTAATAATACTGCACCAACTATTGAAAATCAAGTTGATGATAGTATTTATAACAAGACTGACTGTATAATTAATTTTGAAACTGATAATTCTGAATTTAATAATTATGAAGATTGCTTAAAGGATAATATTGAATTAACTTATGAACATGTAGAAGTTGTAACTTCCATTGATGTACCAGGTAATATTTCTAATGAAAATAATTTAAATGTTCCTAGGAAAAATCCATCACCCTATGAATCCCACTCTGTTAACTATTCAGATTTCTATGACTACAAAAAATTGAATTATTATAAGTCTATCCGACCTGGGCGATCAAAGGGTGACCCTGAAGTTCGAAATATAAGAGCTCTTAAATATGATCCCACAACCAAAAAAATATATTACAAAATAAATTTTGAACATGAATATACAGAATTACCCCAGTACCATCGAACAAAAAAAACTATAGATCTGTCCATCAACACACCTTGTTTGTATAATAGCAGAATTCCTATTACTCTGTCCAAGTGGAATGATCTCCAAAAATTAAAAACGGTTCTACCAACTGATGTCCACGATTATTATGACAATATACCTCACTTAAAGACTTATAAAGAAAGAAAATGTGATAAAATTTAGTTATTATGTTTTTTTTTTTTTTTATAATTATTATTATGTTTTAACAAGATATTTTTATTATTTTATTTTAGTGAATTGTTATATTTTGTATTTTATTATTTATACAATAATGCAGTTTTATTGGTGTTCAGTATTAATTAAGATATTAAATAAGGAATTATTATAACAATTTATAATGTGGTAAAAATCAGATATTATGTTTTTTTTTTTTTTTTTTTATTATTATGTTTTAACAAGATTTTTTTATTTTAGTTAACTGTTGTATTTTTTATATTATTATTATTTATACTACACACCTAGTTCAAGTTTTTGATTTGAATTAATATATTTTATTGTTTAATTTTTTTATTGATTTGTGAAATAAAACAAAGGTTGTTCATTTATTTCAAAATTTAAAATGTATTAGCTGGTTATTATTTGATACTATAATACAAGTCGGTATCAAGGGGGATTTTAGGGGTTCACCCCCCTCCAAAAAAAATTGATCCTGAGTACGTGCTTGCTTTAATACAGTTTTGATATATTTTAAAGACGTATTAATTAATATTATAATAATATTATTAAATAAGGTATTAAATTAAATAAATATAAATTACACGTATCTACAACATTTGTATTTAAACAACACGTATCTCAATCCTTCAATACCTCGTATCTTCATTATATTGCTGAAAAACCACGTAAGTACTATTAATTAAATTAAATGATATTACAAAATATAATTTTCATTGTTTTTAAACTATACTAAGCTCCTAATATCAATATAAGAAAAAAAAATTGTAAAATTATTTCTTGCACACAAATTATTTAGTTTTATGTCTCTCCTGAACAATTTGTGAAATGTTATTTACGTGGTATTGCAGTGACAGTAGCGATAAACATTTTTTAAAGAGTCATTTATAGTTAAAAGCTTACATTAAAAAATATTCTCAAACGGCATGAAAAATCCAAACGAGTAGAATTATAGTCCTCAACTAGTCACATGTAAGTATGCTTAAAAATTCCAAAAATCGTCATGATTTTAATACGTCAATAATTATTAAATTAAAAATGGGGTGAATCACTCCGCGTACAATATAATTACGTGACATGTAAATGTATTCTAACTCAGTGGGGTGGTAGGGTTACGGCTTTAGTGCCTTACTGGCTGTCGTCTGATGGATTCGTTTTTCCAGAACTCGTCCCCTGCAAAGTCTTTGGCGAGCGGTACCCCGCGCGTCCACCGGGCTACCATCACGCCAAATCCGCGGTAAAAGTATGTACCCACGCCGAGAGCTGCAGCAGTTCGTCTCGCTCGACGGACTCGGACGTCGTCTTCGGTGGCGGGGGCGAACGACCTCTACGCCGCAGAGTTTTGGAAGGCCTCGGGGAGCGATGACATTACTGCCACAGCAGCGCCCGGCGTCGCTCCGCAGCAGTCATGACGATAATAATATTATGTAGGTGGCGTTGCGGGCATCGGTGGCGGCGGAGGCGGACGTCGTCACGCGCGTTCCTTATGACGTACTATATATTAATATTATATTATTTTCCTTGGCCGTTTTTTTTCTTTTTTTATCTCTACTTCGTTTTTCGCCCCGTCTCGTTTTGTTGTTGGTCGTTTGCGACACGGTCTCTCGGAGATTCGGAACGTTCGTCGTTCCGCCTGCTCGCTCATTCCATGTAGTCAAAAGCTTTGGCCGACGAATAACAACATGCACATTGCCGCCATCACTGTCCCCGCCACCACTCGCAGTGTTCTATAATATCATGCAGAGTCGTCGTTTTCTTAAGTTTAAATCTAATTCTTCTGCTTCTTTTCTATTCGGCTTTTTTTTTGTTCCCGAGTCATGACGATTATATCGCCACCGCCGCTGTCGTTGTTGTTGTTGTTGTTGTAGTTATTATGTTGTTCATTGTTTGTTGTGAGTCTTACCCTCTTGCTGCTACTCGTTCTCCCACTTCATCTGGTCCATAGTTTCGAAACGAATGGTGCCTAATGCGTTTAGAAAGGAGATTCGCGCGTTAAATCACCTACGACGTTGTCGACGCTCGTTTTTTCGGTGCCACCGACGGTTACTCCTCCGTCACCCACCCATTGATCATCAGCACCCGCGAGATTGTAAATGCCGATTGCGCGACGTGTGAGAAAGACGATTAAAACGATAAAAGTGTGTGTATTATTTTTACGCTATATTAGTTATATTATTGTATACGTACCTTTTACGTATATTATGTAATAAAAATATCATCTCTTTGTTGCTCATTATGGTTTTTTATAAATGTTATTTTTTTTTAACTAAGCTTGGAAGAAGGGGTGTTAAAACATAATATTATCTTACTAATTTTAGATGTCTCTTTGCAACATGTATACAATCTTTCCAAACTGTTTTTTGAGAGGGGCCTTAGCATTGAGAACCTACCCCCCTTCTCTCATTGTTATATTATTATATACAACACAATATAGGTACACATCAATAATTTGAAGAATAGATTGACCAATTTGAATATTAGAAGAGTAGTTCAACTACTTTATCATAACTTTATAAATTATTATTATATTTAACGTGTATACTCAAAAAATAAAAATGTGAATTTTAGTTTAATATTGTACTATTGTAGTGATATTACCCATAAGTTAATATATTAATGCTGAGAACCTAAGCTCTCTTTTTGTCCATATATACAATAAAACGTTTAATGTAAGCAGGTAAACAATATATTTCATGAGTAGGGCTGTGCATTTAATACACTAAAGAACCTTAAAAAATGCATTAAAAATGTCAAAAAAATGTAATATAAAATACCAAAAATTCATTTAAAATGGTTTTTAATTTAATTTTAATATTTATATTAATATTAATTACAGGATATTATACATTAGTACATTACTTGCATAAAAAAGTGTTTATTTAATAAAAAAAAAATTGTAAAAATGTTGACTGAATTTGAATTTTCTATACTTGCTATTCACCTGAAACATTTTTTAAAAATAAATTACTTACAAATAACATATTATGTAGTTATCTAGCATTTGCCTTATTTCATCGACGTATCACAAACCTGTGTACAAAAACGAATTTTTTTTTCAAATATTTTTTCTGTCAATTTACGGAATTTGATTAAAAATACTGGAAAATGAACTAAAAAAGGAAAATATGATCTAAAAATGCACAAAAATGCAAAATAAAAGTTGCATAAATAGATTCGTAGTTACATAATTTAAACTATATACTTACACAGCTACGTTTCACAATCACAAAAAAAATGCACTTTCCTACAAATGCACAGCCCATGAGTGATAAACTAATGAAGAGTAATATAATATTGTATTCTCAATATTTGTACCTATTTTCTAATACGGTAATTTACTTAGTAAAATAGGGTTAAGTCTGGTAGCACCTACCCGTCCATCTCTCGATGAGAAATACTATCCAATATCCATGTATCCCTAAATCCAGTCTCGTAAAGTATTTGAAGAAATGTATTCAAATTAAAATATTCTACAAAATTAAGTATTTTTTACACCTTACCTCACTTATAGCTTAGGGGTCCAACCTCCCTCCTCTTCTGAAAATAAAAGTATGAATATGTAGAGTCATTATTATATTAATTATACAGCCGGAAATCTTGATTCGGGATTTCTCCCCCCCGCCATATGAAATTAAATCCTTTATACGCCACCGAGGTTTGTAGCTGTAATAACTAATATTTAATGTAAAACATATTCTACTTTTACTTTGTACATTTTATTCAACAAATTTTTTTAATTCAAAATCTATAAAAGTACCTTTTTGTTCATAATCGAAACATTCTTGTATTATTATAATAATATATAGCGTTGTCCGCTGCTATAATATCGGGAAATCAGGTTTAAAAAAGAATTATTTCGAATTTATCTAATTTCACAATAGTTTTCATGCTCCAATAGTAATCAAGCGGATATTCCCAATACCTTAAAATTGCCTAGACAATAATCTTAATTCTTAACTGTATTTTAGTTTACCGTTTGTTCAATAATAATTTATATAAATTGTTGTTTAATGTTTGGAACGGATTATCGAATAAAAAATATGATGCATTACTAGATAATTTCATAATCAAAGAACACAATTTAAAAGTTTATACAATATATGATTGCAACCTAATACATGATATTTATGCATAATTTATTGATATAACATTATTTTTTACTTTTAAAATTGAAACTATTACAATATATTCTTATTTACTTCATATTTTATGTATTATTTATTTATATACTAGTAATTTGATTTATAATGGATCAATTTTTATTGATGGTACTCTATCTATATGCACATAAAATATGAATGTAATTTTTTGTCCTAAATATTTGTTCTTTGGTAAAATTGACATTTAAGAAATACCCAATGTTTTTTTTCTGCGTAATCTGAGCACGTTTGAATTCGAATTAAGTGTTATACACGTATACAGTTATATCTCCATATATATGTAGAATCTTAATTATAAGCATCCTATTTCTGTATTAAAATATAATGACTATACACAAGAGTTTAAAATTATTGATGTCTTTCGAATTAATATATAATATGTAACTTGAATTTTCGCGAATTGTTATTTACGCATAAAGCAAGTCGACCATTTATCTTTTCTATAACTATACTCATTACTTCAGGAGATGGATTATCTTTAAAAAGCCTTTGAATATATCATAACCATTATTTTATAGTTATTTAAGTAAAGGTAGATGTCTAAAACTTAAAAGTTTTGTCAATTGTTTGTAACGATTTTGTTATGTGAGTGTTAAGTACATAACTTATATGTTATACTAAGTTGTATCTTCCCCAATATTTTATAGTTAATAGTATATATACCTATAATACACGATTGCGACTTATGAGTTATGATTGTACCAGAAAATTGAATATTTTACTATTTTTGTAAGCCACGTTAAATGTGCATTATAATTTTATGTACGTCATTACCAAAAAGCATACCTATGTCTTAAAAATATCATCAATGACGCACAAGTCCATTAGTATATTATACCTGCACACATCATAATAATATTAAATTACAACGTGTACCTAAGTTGTTGACAACCGGTCTTGGGAAATAACATCCATTAAACTGCAACGTTGATTTTGGAGACATCATCAAAGTCTTATTTTTATTATAATTCATTGTGCTTTTAATAATGATTTAGGTACGATTGTTTTTATTTATTGAACGAAATAAGCAACTTGTATAACCGATTGTCTATTTAATTTAAATATAATACTCTCACATATTGTAGTTGATCAACTGAACAATTATAAAGCAATGTAAGCTGCGTGCCTCTGCATATATATACGTGTTTGCCTCTTTACGATATAAGTACCACTCTATAAGCAATATCGTTGATATTTAAGCCGAGTTCATTAGGAATTCTTCATGTTTATTATTTTATTTTCTCTCTCTTTCTGTACATACTACCTATTTAATATACCTACTCGTATATAGCTACAGGACGAGTATTTCGGGAGGTTAATGACGTATACGGTTTGAGAAGTGCGTTAGTGCCCGTTCTACCGGTATGTTGTATTTTTTTATTTATGTTAAGACATGCTTTATTTTTTGGAAAGTTACCAAAATAAGAACCCTGAATCCCCGTGTAAATCGAATTTCTATTTCTAAAGCTGAAATTGTTTTAGGTATACACATAAATTGAAATAATTATACGTGTACCTACTACCTACCTACTTACTTACCTATTTCTTAATTGTTTTATTTTTAATTTCAGATTGTAGGCATCCAGCAGTATTTGGTAAAGCCGACCGAAGTTGACCAAAACGAAAACATGCTGTCTGACCAAGTCACCTCAGACATAGGTATCACTGAAAAAATGGTCAAGACTTCCGGTATTCCCCTGCAGGATGCTATCGACAAGGTGAGTTTTTAATATTTGATAGTAAAGATATATCCCCTAAACTATAGTCCCGCCAAACGTCGATAGTATATTATAGAATATTCTAATGATATATTACATAAATGTATATTTTAAAATATTATGAATGTTCCACCTGATAATATTGACATCGATACGTTTGTCGTACAACTTTCGTCCGGTTATAATATTATATTTGTCAGCGGAGTTCGATTTTAGCATTTATTTAGATCGGACGTGTCCGTTTTTAATGCAAATACATAGGTAGGTGTGTAGTGTGTTTTAACCCTGCCACGAGGTCGCGAGCAATACGCGTTGACTGTACAATAGTCTGTTGGCTTCTTTATTATGCATAATAATATGCTGTTTACATATTTATTTAAAGCCCATGCCTCGACCGTCGTGCTTATAACACATATCATCATGTAGGTACCTATATACATATATCGCATATCAGAATATATTATTATTATAAGTGTCGAGAAGATTTTCTCCTGCGTGATTTCAATTTTTCTGTCCAGGGCACGACAGTAGTCTATAATATTACGCTAAATACGGGCATTTTTGTTTTTTTATTTTTCTCCACGGGTGGCTGATCGCGATCGCGTATAATATGTGTATAATACAGGGTGATCAACCCCGCATGTTCCGCAACAGGTATCCGACATCGCGCACAGTGTTCCTACTCATAAGTACTTTACACACGCCATGATCGCGGAGTACGCGTGTTAATCAGTTTCCTGTGGGTCGACTACACACGACCGCCGTTGTGTCTATACACCTGCATGCAGGGCCACAGGGCGTGTAAAGTTGCTGATAACATATACTGTTTAATAAATTATAGTATCGTTCTACAGTGGTTATATACCTACATGTATATAAACCACTATTATAATAATATCACCACACTTATCGCGTGCTGTTAATATAACTGTATGTACTGCATTATAGGGGAGGGATGTCTGATACTGTCTGTTTTACCCGAGGTATACCGTCAAGGTAGTTGGTGATGTGTTTGTATAATTTGTGTTTTTATTACAATAATATATGTATACTGCGGCACCCGGATACATGAAACATCCGATAACCTGTTGTGTGCGGGGCATACTGTTGCAGCGAGTGTAAAAATAACGAGATTTGGCGTCAGGTTTTCAAGAGAGCTATAACCCATGCCATACCACGCAGTGTACCCATATTATGAAGTTGTCTCTACGCGTCATCTGCGAGGTAGTATTGTGTTTTGGTTGGGTGTGATTCTAATATAATAAAATTATATAGGTCATTCGAAACACGCTGCTTCGGTTCCTAGTTGCTGACATTTTTAATGTTTTTGTGTCACAATTCACAAATCATAGAGATAGTCGATAGAACACAAATATAAATAGGTATTAGTTACCATATAATATTAATATATTGTGTGTGTGTGTGTGTGTGTGTGTGTGTGTGTGTGTGTGTGTGTGTGTGTGTGTGTGTGTGTGTACAATTTTACCGAGGTTCCCATTTTAAGCATTAAGTCATAACAACAACAATAACTATTATAAGGTTTTCGTTTATCTTGAACTAAAACAAAGTCGTCCACGTTTAAACATAAATACTTATAGACCATATTTGCTATTATCATAGTTACAAATATTAGTGACTAGTAATTTTCGACATAAAATAACAATTGTATAATTAACAGTTATTTTATTGCGATATGACTGAGGCCCATAAAGATGGACTGTTCACAAACAAATATTGTAGTGGTTTACATAAAACATTATATTGATTAATAACTAAAAGGTATAAATGTTAGCTGGAACTAAGGGATGGGTTGGCAATTCGTATAATTCTTTTGATATAAGTTGGTTGAGTTGGTTGTGCATTTACCTATCAGGTGCAGTAAGGTACATTTAGGTATATGAAAAGAATATAAACTATATAGTCTGAGCGACTGAACTTAGTTCACTAAGAAGTGGTGAAGAGAAATCTCGCTTATGGCCGAGAAGTACAAGTCGTTGATTAAAATAAAAAATAATTAGTCGTTATTTATCTATAAAGATCATAACATATTATTGCTTTACACACTGCATAGGTAAGACGACTGTGCGATGTATACGGATGCCGTTTAATACCTATGTGAAAACGATTTTGTACCTCCTAAACTTCTTACGAAAAAGTAATAAAGTTTTCTATGGTTTAAAAAAAAATTATTTTATCTTTAACCATCTTTATATTAGTTTTTTAGTTTTCAAATATGTATATGATATAGATTTTTTATCTGCTAACCATTAACCATGATTATCATGTTTAGTTCTTTTCCAAAACGTGTTAGTTGTTATAAATAGTATGTCTATGTTGTGTCTTGTGAGGTTAGAGCTGTATGTGTCACATAATATATACTGAGAAACCAAAAATGAATGTTAAAAAAATTACAGATAGTAGGTATGAAACTTGTGAAATAATTATTAGTATGATGTATATTTCTAGCCAATAATCATCAATTCATCGTACAGGTTATACACCTGTGCATTTACGATTTACACAATTAGAAATTGTTCAATTCTACAGGAAGTGTATTAGGTATAGTTACCTACTGTAATATGCGGTCTTATAAAATTGTCAAATTGTTATTTCTCTTTTCTTTCCTAGGTTTTCTTTTGGTATAGGGAAACAAACTCATTTAAATCTACCCCTTTACGTTGCATATTGTAAGCTTTCATTTTCAATTCCAACAACGATGTGATAACGATGTTATTATATTCCTAGAAAAAGGACGACTGGCTTCTGCAGCGAACTCTTATAATACTGCTATCAACCGGTTTCGCTTATGATCGAAAGTAGTATAGTAGTAGTAGTAGTAGTAGTAGTAGTAGTAGTAGTAGTAATGTGTATATATAATATAATATATAAAACTGTATACGTATGCCGGAATTATACATATACCCGGTAATACTGGTATATACCGCTCACAATCCGGTACTTGTAGCTTACTTGCACCGTTAAACTGGTTTTTGCTATATTGATCTACTTGTCGGCAAAATAATAGAATTTCATACCAATCGAATGCTCTCTTAGACTCAAGGTTTTATTTGATAAGACTTCTATTAAAAATACAATAATTTAATAGTATTATTATTGACCTATGAATTGTTTTTTTTAAAGATATTGTACAGGTGTATGTACTGTAATGCTCTTCAGTAAAATGCAATGTGCCTACCTATTATATGCAATTTACTTCTATAGAATACAATATTGTATTTTATGTAAGTAGGTACTCAAAACATACAGTTTATATATCATACTATTCATACTTAAACCGCCAAGTACGAAACTATAAGCGAAAACCCGTTATTTTAACATACCTACTACATAGGTATATCATTTTTTAATGAAAGATGTCGCAAACTGCCGAGAGTAAATCAGTTACCCGTTGGATAAACTAGGACATATCGCCCTTGGGTGTATACAATTGACTTGAGAGTCTAAACAAATTAGTCTTTAGATTTAAATCTCGGTGTTTTTAATTTTTGACATCTCACTGTTCGCCGTCGTAATATTACCGCAACAGTCGAAAACTCAAAACTATTTTTTTAGGTATACCTACCTATATGTTAAATTGTATATGATTGTACGTACATGATAATTGTGACGTTAAAATATAATACACTGCAGTGTATTCAGTGTAGTAACGTATTGACAGTCTTAAACTGTTTCCTTACGGCTAATTTTCGGATTAAATTTACGACAGGTTGTTAAACACTTTTTCTTTAGTAGTTTAATCTCCACTTGGATTGTTTATTTAGTTTTCTTCGTAGACATAAGACATTGATAATCGAATTGATGCAACGTCAGCGCATGGCACTCTATTGCAATAGCAACGAAACAACACAACTTATTTCGATATGGCCTGGTCAAACACGTTCCACATTTTTCTATCCGTGTCTATATCATATTATGTACTGCAACTGCAGGTTGGCCCATTGCGTTTTCTTAAAAATGTCTTAAACGAGGAAACACAGTGCCCCGCCCCTCCCCTTTTATATACAAATCTAACCTGTTCTCATAGTTGAGGGATACAGATATACTCTTATTTAATCTCGTAAAATTTGTAGTGGTCGAGTTATCATTTTGACCTCATCTGTACTGTATATAATATATAATAATATATTTTAATATTTATTATTATTATGTTTTTATTTTTATTATAATGTATAGGCATACCTATTGTTATGTTGTATGTAGTGTACTCCTATCGGCCATCATCATTATTATCATCTGCACCATTCGCCACGACGGTTTCGGTTGATTCGGTTTCGGTTGATCAAGGTGTTTAGGTTTTCAGGAAAAATTATCAAATTTATTTATTCCCTTCCTCTTACTCATTGGTGGTATAATGACGTGCAGATTGGTAGAGAAGCCATGCACAAAGTGCCCTAATAAAAGCGGCAAGTACAGTTTAACGATTTTGTTCCAGTTGTCGGTTGAGGACTTCGATTCGAAACGTTTTATACATTATGTATACAGTATAAAGTATCAGCATTGTTTACGGTCTAAGTTCCGTTATAACGATACGATAAAAAAAAAACACTAGTACCTCGTCATTCTTAAAACATAATTTACAGAAATATCGAGTAGGTAATAATGGTGAATTGAAGATTAAGAACAAAACATTTATTCATATAATGGCGTGTAATTATTCAACTTAATTAAACGAAATTGCCATAATATTCAAATTTGAATTTAAATCAATATTGGTCCACACGAAAATACGCCGTATGCAGGCAATTATAGGCCTCCTCTATAATGTTACTATTTAATAATGAAGAATGTAGATCATGCGATGTATGTCAAAACAGTTTGCTAAAAATAGTTGTGTAGATTAGTTGGGACTAAATAGTTATATTTTATTATTGATTACAATTCGTCTCCTGCATCTTATCCCATTTAAAAATGCGCCTCAACTGTTGATGTACTGTGTTTGTTTGTGAATCTGAGTGATATTTAAACATACAATTTTTAAA